CGGAGCGCTCGCTGGCCTATAGCGCATGCAAGTGCGGGCTGCACCCCGGTGCATTTCCTTTGCAGCCTGTCCTTGCTTTGGGAGAGGTAGGACGGGCTTTTCCAAGCATCCCATTATAATTGCAGTGCTCTGAGGATTGCAGCTTGTTCCGGCCCGCGTGTGTTTTCCGATGCTCCTAAGCGAGTCCGACGGTCTCGCAGAGCAAAGTTGTAATTAGCGGGGCAGGACCAGGGGGTGGAGTGAGCAACACTCGGTGCAAGTGCCAGGCCGCTCTCTTGCCTGTGTAAGAGCTGGAATAGCCCTGGACGCCTCTCTTTTCCATGCCTTTCTGGAACTAAGCAAGTGTGGACTGGGTCCTGCAGGACGGTGTCCATGTGGTTTTGAAGAGGCCCTGGCAAATGTTTCGGTCTCTATTGCTGAGATGAAAGACCGAGCCTTTTTGGCAGCGTAACGAGCTCTGGATTAACAGTTTTCTCCGGAGGATATGGATGATTGAGCTTTTGATGGCCCTTTGGAGAAGAACGGGGGCTGGACTGCAGGAAGACAAGTTGCAGCCCCCAGCGGTTGTCATTTCTCCAAGTACTGCGGGTGGAAATGACGCCGCTGCTCACGGGACTCTCCTGGCGTTTAGGTAATTCAGCTGGGGGCGCCCCGATTCCCCCGTGCTTCCCTTTCCACACCCCGTGTGCTCTCCGTAACGCGCGGGTTCCTTTGGCTCCAAAAGTGGCGCAGGGTGAGGGGAATGGAGCCGGTTCCCGAGACCTCGGCAGCGTCAGGGCTCTCGTGGTGGCGGAAGCCTCCCTGGTTTAAACAAATACAACTTCTTCAAGCAGCCGGGGGCACAAGGGCCGTGTCGCTGCTGCTCCCCGGGCGTTGCTGCCGTGCCAAACGCCCGAGCGGCCTCGAGCGCTTCAGAGCCTCTGGCTTTTGGCATCGCGTTCCTTGGAGCGAAGGGCCTCTCCGCGGCGGAGCCGTGTTTCCTTCCCAAGGCCCTCGGTTCTTCCCAAGGCCCTCGCTCTCGGGAGGGAGGCAGCGGCTGCAGCTGTGCAGGAGGTGCAGCTGTCGGCACACGTGCTGCCTCTGCAGCTAAGGAGGCAGCAGTTCTCCTCTGCCTTTGCCGTGTGGGGAGTAGTTCTGTTCTAGCCCAAAATTGGACCTGTGCAGCAGAGCCGTAGCCACATCTTTCCTGGAGGAAGAGAAGGAAATCATAGGTTATCGAGAAGCCAATTCAGCTATTTCATCCTTGGTGGAAAGGGGATGAGGAATCAAACCCGTAGAGAATATTAGGGCAGGGGAAAGACAAGAGGAGAGACTTGGTAGGACGAATAAAGCCCCAGCTTTTGCAAGCTGGTGCACAGGTTGTGGCAGGCTTTTTTTATGGAGAAACAGAACCTTCCCAGCCACACATTGTGGTGTAACTAATGCACTTACAGACTTCAAAATCAGTTTATTTCTACTGATATTCCTGTACCGGCACAGAATAATGGAGACAAGAGTGCGCTTTGAGGAGAACAGAATCCATTTAACTTCTGGCTTCCGTAGTTTTTAGAGGACAAGGATCTAGGAAGATGATCTTGTGGTTTCCAAGCTGAGGACTTGAGTGGACTGGGGAGAAAACCCAATCCTGCAGTATGTTTGCTTTGCTGTCCCTTAAAGGTCGTGCTTGGCTGCAGCACCAAAACCCATGTGGTTGCTTGTGTCTGTCTACACATTTGTCGGGGAACGTGTTGGTCGTGGGGGAGAGACGGACTCGCTCATGAACTCAAGCTGATGTGAAGAGGGAGGGTTTTCTGCTGAGAAAAAGGAATCCGACTATTGCATAAATGCTGCTAAGTGATGCAGGCAATTGCCCTTTCCTATGCTGAAGTGTAGGCTTAATTGGAAACTGTTTTGATATAACTCAGGTTGCCGATTTCTCTTTTTCTTTTAATGGTTTGTAGGCTGGTGTCACCTACGTGTGTCCTTTCTCGGCATTAGGCACACGGCTTCTCCTGTGAACGTGTCCTTTCAGCCTGCAGAACGGTTTTGATTTCTCCAGCAGCTGACCCTTCTACAGGTCACTTGCTGAATCTGAAGCACAAAAGTGCAAAAGCGCCGTCACCCTTCAGCTAAAAATGGAACAGGGGAGAAAAACAACAAGGTGGGGAGGCAGGTTTCGGATGGTGGATGACTTGGGAAGCCAGCACGTGGCTGAAGGGGCTGTGCAGACGGTGCCGTCCCTCCAGCAGTGCTTGCGTGGGAGCTCCTCACTAGAGAGTTCATACTCTTGAAGGGGCCATAAGGCCTCGTTAGGTGTCTGTAGGTGCGTAGGAATGTCCTTGGGCTCTCTGGTCATGCCCTGGTTATCCCAGCTCCTTGCTGTTTCGTCACTGCCTTACCTTTAATTATTGTCGTGTTCTGTCACTTAATATTAAACCGCTTCTCATTGAATCCTGTCTCTTAATTGGCCTAACTGGCTGTCACCCAAATGGCCTGCACTGTGTATAGAATTGAGCTTCCTCAAATATTTCCTAATTGGCAGCTGGTGCACGGTGAGGAAATGGGTCTCTTTCAGTGATATTAATAGATTTTATTTATTTATTTATTTTTTGTTTGCTCTCAGGATTGGACATTGATCCTATGACGCATGCCCGGAAGAAGCAGCTTTTCCTTCTGAAACGTCCAGCTAGGTCTGCTGGCCAAGCTCCGTCGCCAACGGGCCGCACGAGGATGGATAGGACAGAAGCCGAGGGCGGCGAGCAGAGAGATGGGGAGAGTGCCGAGGCTCCGAGCTGTCCGAGGGCGCTCGTGGGCATGAGCAAAGGCAAGAATTTGCAGGAGGTGCGAAAGACGTACCCGCTGCGGAGGCGGCTGCTCCCAGCTGTGAGCAAAAAAACCTGCAAAGTGCTCCTCACCAGGCTGGAGGATGTCGCTGGGTCGCTGTCCAAGGAGGGCCAGAGCTGTAGGAAAAAGGATCTTCCCAGCTGGATGGAGGGTTTTGGACCTGCCTTCTTCTCTGAACAAGTTCAGGCCACGGCAGCGGGCAAGAGCGATTCCGCTGGGGAAAAGCGCACGGCGGCATATGCGGGCGCAGAGCAAGAGCTGGATGCTGCCCCTGCAGAGCCCCGGAAGCGAAGGCTGGCCTCGCTCAATGCCGAGGCCGTGAACAATCTGCTCTTCGAGCGGGACGATGGCTTGTTATCCGGCAGGCGCTTCCGGAGGGACGCCGTCAAAGCCAGCGGAGACTGTACGGTTAAGAGCTTGCATTGCAAAGCTGCTGACAACTGGCCCGTGGCAGAGAGGAGCGCTGCGAAGGCAGGAAAAGGAAAGAACCGGAATGAGCCCCGGCAGAAATGCGGTAGCTACGACCACGCGCTGGATGAGGTCTTCGATGGGACGAAGAAAGAGGACGGTGCCATCTCCTACCATCCCACCCCAAAGAGACTGGCCAGCCTGAACGCTGTGGCCTTCCTGAAGCTCACCCATGAGAAAGAGCAGCCTCTGAAGCAGAGGAACAAATCGGATGGCGAGGGCAAGTCCGAGAACCACTGCTCGAAATCGACGCTCAAGTGGGCCAAAGCCAACAGGAAGAATTGTGTCAAACCCAAAAAGGAAATGTCTAGCCTGAAAATGGAAGGCCAGCATGGCTGGCGGGGCCTTGCGCTAGGTACTTTTGGGAAAGCCGACAGGCGGGACTCCTCTAGGCTCTACGGGACGACGGAACCTGTCCAGTACGAATCGCTGTCCAGCTCCTTCGCGAGCACGGAAGGTTTCTACCACAGACTGCCTTTGCTTATGGGTGGCCAAGCTTCCATGAAGCCGGAGTACGGAAGACCTGGAGAGAAGTCCCCGACTCCCAAACAGGAGTTTCATCAACCTTCCTTCCCAGTGCAGCAGTTCCCTCCCTTGCCCGTGCCGGGGAATCACGCGGATTGTGGATGTCTCTATGAATCCTCGGATCTGACCCCGTTGAACGGGTTTTACGTTTATTATGGCCAAAGTGGATACAGTGGCTACTCTCACTGCTCGGTTTACCCCAAGGACGAGCTTTCGCAGCCGGCTGCCTGTGAGGGGCTCTTGGTGTCTCCTGGTTCCTTGCCATCAGGGGCTCATTTCCAGCCGCTTCACTGGTGTAGCTCTCCGTACTGTTGTGCAGAAGGACCGGCTCTTAGCAGTTACAGTGTCTGTGGAGTGGTGCACGTGCCGGAGGGCAGGATTAGCAGCGTGCACGCGGGCCGGAACAGCTACCCCTACAAAATGCCTTTTGCAGCAGGTAAGATGCAAAAACGCCAGGGACTCTCGCTTGGTGCTGCCAGGCAAAAAGGGTCAGGTTAGAGCAGTCACTAAGAAAGACATCGCATTTGCCAGGAGACAAAATCCCCCTGTATGAGGTTCAGCTGAGCTTCAAATCTGAACCACGGCTCGGAAAGAGTCCACGTTTCTCCCGCCGTGTTTAACCCTGAGGGTTTTTTCCCCACTGCAGGGTCTGGTTGGTGGGGAACGCCTGGAGTCAGCGGAAGGCTTTGGGCAGCGGGAAGGTGACTCGTGACTTGTCACGCTGCAGCTAACCACTGAGCTTTGAGCTGCGTGAAAACGTGTGGGTTTTAGTTCAGAGATGCTCTGCAGAGCATTTTCGCTGTCCCGCTGTCCTCCCGCAGAGCAGAGGAGGATCTAAGTGACGGCAGGCCAAGCGGCTCCTCCGTTACCCGAAACTTTCTCTTGGGACTGGAGCGTCCTCATCCAGCAGTGGCCCTTGCAGGTGTAAGCTGTACGGGTACCATGGTCTTGGAAGTGTTTCTAGGTCTAGCCTGGTGGGATTGTCTGTGGCTTGTGAGGCCTCTCTTTGGGCAGATCCTTGAACGTCTTGGTGGTTCTTGTGTGCTGGGTGAGAGGTGGCCCCATCTTTACCCTCAGCAATGACTGGAAAAAGAGACCTTCAAATGAGGGGTTGTAAATGCGAGTATTTCAGTTAACCATGTGGGAGTGAGGGAAGAGGAACCATAACCTGGCATTTAAAACCTGCTTCCAGGTAGGTGGATGAGGCTTTGCTCTAGTGCTCGGTTTGAGCAAGGCTTTGCCATCTCCTGCCCAAGGAAGCCGCCAAATCTTGGGAGCGTTGCAGTATAATTCCCATGTTTTTCCCTGCCTGTCTGCGCCGTCACGGCACAGCTTCGAGCGGTGGGACTGTAGGCAGTGTTTCCTCGTGGTTTCCCACTCTTCAAAACTGAAGAGCGCCTGCGAGGCAGCGGGGCCCGTGTTCGTGTCTGGCAGTCTTCAGTGTAGTGCCCGGAGCAGTTCTTATTCAAAATCCTGCAACATTGGAGTAGTTCAGACTTACATATACACTTTTTTTTTTTCCTTCTGCAAATTGCAGTGTATGCACAGGTCTCCTAGAATATTAATTGGGATTTATGCTCGGGAGCTGGTGTGGTGTGGACCGTATACTGGTATATGCGAACCTGGACCCTGATCCTTCCCCAGAGTGTTTATTGGCCAAAGGAAAAGACTATGGAAGCAGCCAGCCCTGCCTTGACTGAGCAGGGGGAGCCGCGGCGGTGAGGGCTCCCCGCCTGACGTACCGGCCCCTTGCGCTGAGCCCGTGCGGGTGCGTTCGGGGCGCTCGTGTGCGGACCTGCTTCCCCGCTGGTGCCACGTTATTCTGACGGATGCGTCATCCGGGTTTGAGCGGTCGCTCTGCGGCTGCTGGAGGGACGTGAGGTCTTCCAGGGGGCCTGGGGCAGGCGGGTGACTCGCTAACTTGTGGTCAGCAAGTCTGCTCTGAAGACAGAGTTTTGCTGATGGCAGCGATATGCAACATCTTAACAAATTTTGCCCTGTGTTTGATCCCTTCCCATCGTTTTCACATGCTTTTCCCTGCTTTCGGATGTGTTGTCGGGCTGGAAGCGCTTTGGACGCTGGCCAGCCTTGTGTGTATTCCCAGCTGCCATTACTTTGAGGAATTTGGATGGGCTTGTTGTAGCGCGGTGTCATCAGCAGCGACATATTGGAGCATGGTGGGCTTAGAAATATCTCTGCTTTTAGAACCCACAATCAGCAGCAAACGTGGACGTGAAGGTTGTTTGCCGCTGCAAGGCAGTAAAGAGAATTCCAGGGAAGACGGAGGGCGGTCAGTGCTGAGAGCGTGGGATTTCGTGTGTGATTTGTGCCTCTCTTCTTCCCCTCTGCCAGAAGGCTGCAAGTCTCTGGACCAGCTGAACCTCACGATCCCCGTGGCAGGGCACCCCGCGTCGCCTGCCCACCCGCTCTCAGGATGCCCCGTGCCCAGCGTGCCGCCGGCTGCGGAACCGGTTCCTCACCTGCAGACGCCCAACTCTGACCCCCAGACTATGGCCCGAGAATGTCCGCAGAGCTCCAAGCCCCCCAGCGGCTCCAAATCCGGCCTCCGGAATACCCCGGGCTGCCTCCACGCCTCGGACAGCAAAGCGGCCGGAGGCCATTCCCACCCGAAGCAGCAGCGCATTAGCCGGCGGAGAGCCACCAATGGCTGGATGCCTGTGGGCACGGCCTGTGAGAAGGCCGTCTACGTTGTGGTGAGTGTTGGGCAAACCCTGTTCTTCTGCAGGCCTTACCTGTACGAGCGGCCTCAGGGGGACTGAGGTTTGGGAGAGCTTTAGGTTCAGAAGACTTCTCTGTACTCAATAGTAGCAAGGCCTGCATCGTTTAGTGTCCCTTCAAGGTGGAAGTGGTCACTAAGTGCCACCTAGGACCTCCTGGGCGTGTTGCTAATGGGAGCAGTAAGTAGTGCCTCTTGGCTGGGCTTGGGGACTGAGCTGCTGGCCTCGTTTATTCTCTCATGCCCTGTTATTACCTTGCACAGCATGACGAGCAGTTAGAAAGGAAGGAGAACCTGCTCCTCCTGTCCCAAGATCAGATGACAGGCCCCAACGATGGGTGCTTCTGGCTTTGGCGTTCATGAGGGTGGCACCTGCTGCTGCGTGTGTAAGTCTGTTCCAGGGAGAGGTCGCACTCCAGATGCCGCTTCCCTCTGGGTTAGGGCAAGGCCCTTGGAGAAAACAAGCAGAGTTTTAGGCTTGCTTGAACAGCAGTTTTCTAAAGGTAGCTCTTTAAGCTTGTTCTTCTGCTGATGGTGTCAGCATCACCAGTGATCTCCCAAGGACAGCGCAGATGACCAAGCCAGTGGCTCCCAACCGGATGTTCCCTAGTACCCATCTCTGCTGTCCAGAAAGGTGGGAGAGAACCAAGTATTGAGGTGTGTTCAGTAGATGTCAGCAGCAAGGGAAACTTTGGCCTGAGGAGACTCATCTGTGCTACCCGTATCTCGCTAGAGAGCTACAGCCCCAACCTTCAGGGACACTTGGCAATGCTGGTGTCACCTCAAGCAGCAGGGATCATCAGCCAGGAAAAGGTTTGGAGTTTCTGCCCTTAGAGTTGCAGAGAGTCTAGCTAAGCCCATCGTGCTCGGGTGCTCTGAAATCACTTCTCAGACCAATAATCAAGCAAGTTGCCAAAATTGTGGTCCAAAAAGCGATTGTTTTTTTCATGTTAGTGGCCTTGTTACCAAGGAGGCTTTATTCCATGGCAGTGCCTGTCCTGCCCTGCTTTGTCATATCTGTCATTCACAGGTGCACAGTTTGGCCTGACCTTTGCTTTTACAAACTGACCCGCTGGGTGTGGAGTTGTTGTGAGTGGTCTTAGGCTGCCTGGCTTCTCTCAGAGCTCTCTTGGGGTGGAAGCACTTAGTTCTGGTAGCTTAATCAAGCTTTTAATCCACAGCAGGAGAAAAGGAGTCTGGGGCTGGGCTAGTACACAATCTAAACTTTCGTCTCTTTGCTTGTGCTGATTATTCTTAATTTTTTGTTGTTGTTGTTGTGCCAATGCTATAGAATGAGCCCGAGCCAGCCGTTCGCAAGAGCTATCAGGCTGTGGAAAGAGATGGGGAGATTATCCGAGTACGAGATACAGTCCTCCTGAAATCAGGACCCCGGAAGAAATCTATGCCATATGTTGCAAAGATATCGGCGTTGTGGGAAGACCCCAAAACAGGTACTGGTGCCTCGGGAGGACGTTTTGCCTCTGCTCGACAGCTGGAAACAGGGCAGTGATGGATCTCGGCAGCACTGCAAGCTTGTTAGGGTGCTTCCCCGCTGCCAGATTGGGTGATGAAGGGGAAAAGATCAGCTCCTGGCTTTGCGCTTGCTCAGGTTGTTCCAAGAACCGAGATGCTCTTTAATCACTAGTCTGGAAATGCTAATCAAAGCCTTCCTGGTGGTGAAAGCGCATAGTATCTGCCAACCGCACGTCTTGGCAGTGATCTCTGCTTATTGCACAGCAGCAGATGTGTGGGGAGCGCTGCTTGCTCGGGTGCCCCGCAGCTGGGCTGGGAGGTGGTGCGTGTGGCACGCTGGCTTTTCCCCAAAACGCCTTCATGGGGCTTGGCTGGAGGTGACGGCTGGAGCCGTGTGGGTTGGCACGCGAGTCCCGCGTGAGACTCGCATCTCGCACCCAAACAAGTGGCTTGTGGTGAGGCCAGGCTTTGTCACGTCACCCAGTGGCAGCAAGTCTGATCTGCAAGTAAAACTGGGAGTGAAAGCCGTTTCCAAATGCAAGCTGGAATTGGTGCTTTTCCCCATGACGATTTTGGGGGTCATGCATGTTGCATATTCGTTGTTGTTCAGACTCGAGGTCTTTGGAGGACATAGCTTACGTGGTAGGGGTGTAACAGTAACACGACAGAACTTCATGGAGCATCAAAAACTGTGGCCCAGCCGCCTCTATGTGAGAACTGTGGAAGAGACAGGTCTGAAACGGGAGGAGGAAGTTGAACACTAGTGGGAAAGCCCAAGTCTTGATGTATTTCAACAAATCTTCTTGCAGGGGAGCTGATGATGAGCCTCCTGTGGTATTACAGACCGGAGCACACTCAGGGAGGCCGCAACCCCAGTATGCACCAGGTGAGCACCCTCCAAAAAATAAAGGTATCCTGATTCATCAAGAAAGGTGGAGCTTGATGGAAGAATTCCCGGCTGAAATTCTGCAGCCTGTATTGTGTAGGATGTTGGAACAGATCTGTCTCGTACTGCCTTTTTTATTGTAAAAATCCCCCAAATCTGCTACTTAAAATGCAGAAATACGTGTCTTTGGTGCAGAACTGTGAATGCCTCCTTCTCCCTGCATATAGATGTGTGATGAGAATTAAAAGCTGACTGAGGATGCTGTGCCAGTATAATGGAGTTCCCTTTCGAAAGCCGGGGGAAATAAAAGTGTGAATCATTTTGCCTTCACGCCTTGCTTTGCTTGGGCTGGTGTTGGGTGACAGAGCAAGCTGTTTCTAAACAAGGAGCAGAGAATTTACAGCCATTTTTAATCCACCAAAAGTCCTTGGTGCTTTTTTTAATTAAAAAAAAAAAAAAAAAAAAGATGTGTGTGTGGGGGGGAGGTGGAAGAGTAAGACTGGGGGCAGCTCCTGAGTTGCAGCTGATTGGCTTGCAGGGCACATATTAGTTTCCAAAACCAAATGTGGCACCATGTGAAGTTTTCTGGGTCCATATCCAGTTGTGTTTTAGTGAAGAGTGAGCCAGAGGTCTGGCTAGGAGAAGCTAAGCTGGGTTTTTGCACACCTGCTTAATTGCACAAGATTTCAAACGAAAGACTGAGTTGCTGGGACGGGCTTGCCAAAGATGACTCAGATAATCTTGATTTAAGGAGTCGACCAAAACCTCTAATGCACAGAATCAAGGTGTGGTGTTCTCGGTTTCTGTGGTTAAGCCTGTCCCCAAGCTGTGACCCTGAGTTTCTGAGTCTTCTCGCCCACTTCCTTGGGGCTGTAAACAGGAGCAAAGTCTGCGGGTGATGCTTTCAGGCCTTTGCAGCACATCTTTACACACAGAGATGCTCACTGCTGCTGGAGCCAGGCTTGAAATTCCTTAAATTGGCTCCATCTGGATTGTGCCATATCTAACCACTCCTGCCTAAATTACCTTGGGACAAAAGGTTATTGCTGCTTTCATGCTGGAGAAATGAACTGGAGGGGTTTAGCAGCACAGGGGAGGGAAAAGGAATGAAGAATATCCCTAGCAGGAATTCCTTGGAGGAATGTGTGCACAGAGGGAGCTCCCAGCTCCTGCCTGCAGGAGCATTGATCACTGGCCTTTCCAGAGGCACCAGAAAGCTTGTTGCACGTGGAGCCTTTTTGCAGAGTCAGATTCTTCAGATATGCTAGAGCAGAAGCACCTCTTGCCGGGGCTCCTTTCTTGCTTGCTTTCCTGGGCCTCTGCAGAACTGCTGAGCTTTGCTGGGCAAAATCATGCTGCAAATAAGTCATGAGCTGTACCTGGAAGGTGTCTGGGTTGTGTGAAACCAGCTTTAAAGAGCGTGTGACACGTGGGCTTTGGTAGCCTCCCCTCTGAGATGACGGGAGAGGGGTAGAGCTGCCTCTTGCCTGCTGAGAAGCTCCTGGCCGCCTGGGTGACCTCTCTCTGGCTTCTTTTGCAGAATGAGATCTTTGCGTCCCGGCATCAGGATGAGAACAGTGTTGCCTGCATAGAAGAGAAGTGCTATGTGCTGACCTTTGCAGAGTACTGCAGGTAGGTGGTGCTCCTAACTTGCTGCTGCCCAGACCTGTCCATCTCCAGCTTCTGTCACTCTCCTCATTGCTGCTCATCACCCAGCAGAACCATACCTGACCTTCAGGCTCAGGAACAGAAAAATTGAGCAAGGCTGGAAGTCATTCTGTACATCTGTCCCTTATGGGAAGCTGTAGCTAGCTAACATGCCTGCTGAGGTGCTGCTGTCAGCACTGCTACTGGACATGGGTAGTTGCACGCGCGGGTTTGGATGTTTGGGCAGCAACGTTACTCAGAGTGGTAGCTCAAGTATCTGCAATTAAACTTGTGTGGTTGAATTAAAACTTGTCGAGGCAAAATATCAGGCGGTCTGTATTCACACACCTGGCATCCTTGGATGGATGGGTGTCTGTGGCAGAATGAAAATAGGGGCTGAAGGGACAATTCTTAAAATGAAAAATGCACCCTTAAATCTCTTGGGTTTTGCTGGATGCTTGTTGACTTTGTGTTCTTAGGTGTTGAGAAACCTGGCGGCAGCCCCAAGTGGTTTAGGAGCTGCAGGCCAGTCCAGCTAGCTCTGCTGACAACATTTCAAGACAGCTTTTGTCCCTGGTCAGCACTTCAGAAGGATTTACCAATGCAGGTTGCAGAATTAGATGGCCACAAAACCTCAGCTGTACCCACAGATGTCTGCCAAAGGGCTGTTAACATGGCTTGTTGTGCCTGGCTGGAAACAGCCAACTAGAACAGTGGAGGTTTTTTTTGTTTGTTTGTTTGTTTGTTTTCCCTTGCTCTGGCTGTTAATCCTCTAAGTGCTAGTGCAGTTGACAGCATGAAGCTGTTGATTCCTCTTTCTGTGCTTGCCTGGTGCATGTGAATTGCCTAAGGGCTCAGCAGGTTTCTTCCTAACTGAGGGCCAAGCAGCTCAACTTGCCACAGTGCGACCAGCTTTTCTAGCCTCAGGTTCGGGCAGGACAGTTGGAGTGGGAAGAGTTATCCGTAGGAGATCTGCAGGTTTCCACTGGTTGCTGTGGAGCTGGACTGATCTGAGCGGTCACAAAAATAACAGCAGCTTTTGTTAGAGGTTGTTTCAGGGGCTTGTCTGAAAGCTGACAGAGCAACTCCGGAGACTTTAGTAGGCTGTTCTTGCCATCACTGTAGAGCGTCTCCTGGCTTGGTGTTCAGAGCACCTTGATTTCTCCTCTTAGGGCTTGTTCTGCACCTGAGCTCGGGTTTGTGCTCCTCCAGTTGCTGATGGAGTGTTTGGGCACTGTTCCCTGCAAGGAAGTGTGGTTTGCTCAGAAATCCCATCCACAGAATCCCAGAATGGTTAAGGCTGGAAGGGACCTCTGGAGATAGTCTAGTCCAACCCCCTGCTCCAGCAGGGACACCCAGAGCACGGGGCACAGGGTGACATCCAGGCGGGTTTCGAAGGTCTCCAAGGAAGGAGGCTCCACAGCCTTTGTCGGAGAAGCTTGTGCATATTCTCCTCTAACAGCTACCTGACTCCCAAATGGAAAATGCCAGAGCAGGGCATCTCGCCCTTGCAAGGGTGCATCTAACTGCCGTGATACCCGCGAGTGTGTGTGATGTGACCGTGTGTATCCAGTCACCGGTGCGTCCATCTGAATGATGGCTTGACATGGATGCCTTTTTTGGGGCAAATTAACCGAGACAAGGCTGAGGTAGTAAAAACAAGATGGCTTAATTGCAGTAATCTCCAAGGGTCAGAGTGGGATAAAAGATAACTACTACACGGTTTTCCTCCTGAGCAAAGGTTTATTTTCTTCCATGCTCTTCCCCTTTTCCCTTCTCTTACCCCTCACACCCTTGGCCAGCCATTGCCATGTCTTGCAGCGAGATGGTAAGAGACTGAGACCATGCCAACTTTTTGCATCTAATTGTATTGCAGATTTTGTGCCTTGGCAAAGCGTCGCGTCGAAGGGATCCCAGGCAGGAAAACCATTATGGTTCCTCCCTCGGAGGAGTACTCCACACCTCTGCACCGCAAGGTGCCCGAGGACACTGACCCCGAGCTGGTTTTCCTCTGCCGTCACGTCTACGACTTCAGACACGGGCGCATCTTGAAGAACCCACAGTAGCACAAGCCTTGGGTGGCACCACAGAGAGGACGTGTGGCACCGGAGAGCCGATGGCAAGGTGGTGGCCTGGGACATCTGTGCACTCTCGACAACTTGTGCCGCTCACCAGTGGCTGGGCCCCGGCACCCTTTCCTCGGACTGAAGAGCGCGCGCAGGAGCAGATCCCTGTGGAGGAAGGCAGCAGTTCAAAGCACAGCACTTCATTAAAAGCATAAATGAAAAATATAAACGTATAAAATAAATATATGTATATAGATATAGGTACTTGCATATGTAAATCTATATCTATATATGTATCTAGAGATGCATATATTGGGAGGGTTTTGCAGGGGATAAAAGCCAGTAACCTGAAGCCAGAGCCGCCATCAGTGGGAAAGGCCAAAAGATGCAGGAGGGCGATGCTCTGGTGCATGGTAAGAGTCAAGCTGTGATGGTCCTGATGTGAAGTGTGAGCACTGAGACCAGTTCCTTGGTGCTGAGTGCAGGCTAGTCCTCTGTGCTCAGCAGAAGAGACAGGATTCCTGGTGAGTGAGAGCTCCTTCAGAATACAGCAGGTCCCTTTGAAGCTACCTGGGTGTGGAGTGGCCTCCTGTCATGCTTGAGTAGGTTTTGCTCCATCGGGGCCATGGGGGAAGAGGTGGTCCCTTTTTCTCCGTGTTTCTCTTCCTCCCTCACCCTCTTCAGAACAGTCCTGTGCTCCACAGCCCTACTGGGGCTTCGTGGCCAGCCCGGGAAATCTCCTCCATCTCAAAGGCAGGCAGGTTGTTACGCAGAGCTTTGCAGCTGCCCTTAACCTTGCCCTGGAGGACAAGGGGTGTCTTGTAAAGCCCTCCGATGTGGGCTCCCCGCAGGAAATCCATGTGTTGTCTTCCCTTCCACGTGTTGCTCTTCCTCCAGTGGTTGTTAGAGGGCACAGTGATGGAAGTGGGCTCGGTTCTCTCTTCCTAGTTCCCTTTTTCTTTGTTGTCTGTTTGTTTACAGCCCCTATTGACCCCAGGTGTCTTCAGTGCTTGAGGAAGCTAGAGGCAGGGGGAGACGTGGCAAACACTGTTCCTCTTGAGACTTTGTTTTATTTGAAACCGCCCCAAGGTGACTGTCCGGGCCCTGGGGGCACTGCTGAAGCAGTCAGCCTTGCAGCCTGCCCCCCTCCAAGCTCATCCTGGCATCTGAGCAAGCTCACCAAAGTGGCTCCCAAAAGGAGCTGACCGGGGAGGGAGGGGTTGCGTCGACAAATGCTACCTGATTCCTACAGTTTTGTGCCTCTTGCCTTATGTCTATATAGCTCCTAGACAGACTGAAGTTCATCTCGACACTAACTGCTCGAGTTGATGCTAAAGGAAACCAAAGGGGACAGCCTCACGGAGTCCACTGGATCAGTCGCACACAGCTGGGGAGCCAGTTGTTAGATTGCACTAATTCAAAGAACGCGAATGGGCACTGTCTCGGTCCTCGTATCTGCTGGCTGGAGTTGCTCGTTCAAACTAGGGATCTGCATTTTCAGTTTGTTTGGGGATGTTTTGGGAGCAGGGGTGGGGGGTTTGCTTCTGAGCTAGCATTAAATGATAGACGTGTTCATACTGCTTTAACGTCATCCTGTCGGTGGAAGTGGCATTCACTACTGCAACTGCCGCATTGGGAAGGGAGGGCTCGTTGGCTGCCTGGCCTAAAGAAAACCTGGCTGACATCAAACCCTCAGGTGGAAACAGTGTAACCCATGTGGGTTAACAGAGGAGCTCTCCAGAATTTTGC